GTACGTTAAACATTAAGGGCAACCTTTTAGAAGCTGGGAGTTGCACTATCAGCACCTTTGAAAATTGGACCAATTATACTGAAGTGATTAATTACAGAACGAGATGCCTAGGTTTAAGGACCAGACTCTGAAACATCTAGAACATTAGGGATAACACACCAACTGGGGATTTAATTTGATAAGAGCTGGAATGATTAACATATAGAAAATTTTAGTGACTTAGCGAAAAATTACATGATGATTGAAGATGGTTTTATCTAAATTAATACTTCCGTACATGCATTTTCATAAACAGTGCATTCACATACTCTAGCCAATGCCTGACTTTTAGACACAATGTACAGGTAAACCTGACATGCAGATTATTTTAAAAATCAGTTTTGAGATGCCTAAAATAGGTTACTTCAATAATGAATCTGTTTCCAACAAATAACTGGCTTGTTTTGAAGATTATGTATTTCACATATATACAAAATTAAAAATTAACTCATTCCATTTTGGAAAGCACAAACTGACAGATAGGCAATAAAAAACTATTGAGACCAATGAAAAATATATTTCCACTAAATGTACTGAGCCATTTAAGAAAAACCCTATTAAATATCAAAGTTAGAAATAAGCGGACACATGCACACTTGTGAAACAGCTGATGCTTGTATACTGTAATCAAAGGTTCACAGCCTCATTTTTATCCTTCTTTCCTTAGTAGGATATAGGTCTAAAAATAATAACTGCCACCTAACACAGAATTTTATGATGGCAGAAATGTCTTTGAAAAAAATTAGAAGTTTATAAATAGAATAAAAACACCTTGAAGTACAAAATTCTCTCTTTCTAAAACTAATTTTCTATGAAATCCTTTTGAAATGTCTATCTGTTGATTTCTCTGCAGATAGCACACATACCTGTGTGCACCAGACACACACACTTAAAACCAGGAATGGTCCTATTCTCTTTATAATACTTTCAGATGGAATAATAGGAAGAAAAAAAAGGCTAAGTTAACTCCAGGTAGTTATGATCTCATTCCCAAAACAACTTTATGTTGATGATTTCATATAAACTGTGAGAACCCAGAGCAAAACAAGACAAATGCTGTGGCCAATTTGCTTTTAGAGTTTTATTGCAATCTATTTTTACAATTTTGTATGATCGCTTCATTAGTAATGTTCTGTTTTTCACCTGTGTTTTATAATGCTCATTTTACCACACAAATCAGTTAGCAATTTGTTACCTTCCTCCTGCTTTTTGAGTTGCCAGTGTCTACAGTCATTTAGGCTTTGATCAAACCGTACTTTAAGATACACAACTAGCTGCTATAAGTTAAAAATGAAGAATTTTTTTAGCCTTTATTGCACAGTTTATTAAAATGTCAGTGTTTAGAAACTTGTTGAATTCCAAGGTATTGGTAGAACATGAACTCAATGGAATTATAACATTTTCATAAAAATGTGCACCTAGCTTCTATTGTAAAAAGTCCAGATCTGTTAAAATACTTCCCTTTAAATAAACAGTGAATGATTCAAAAAACTGTGGCACTTCAGTAGATTACGTTTCCTTCTTCTATTGCATATTACAATACTGAGGGTAGAGACTGATCAACAGCAGGGGACTGAAAAAAACTTTTCAAAAGCAGGTCTTCTTAAGGTGTTAGTCGTTTGGGATCCCGAGGGAACATGGAGGTCTGACGAACATTGTGCAGCCCCAGGTAGAGCATAGTTACTCTTTCCAACCCTGGAAAAATTAAGTCCAGTCAAATGACTCGTTAGTGTGACTCAGTGAGATCAGCATGAAGCTTAGTAATTCTAACACACCTTAAAACAATTGCAGAGGAAAGAAATCTACATAATAAGGCATAGGACTGTTCTGAGATACCAGTACAATTAACTAGAGGATGGAACTGGCATGAGAAACATGAAGTTGCTTTGTTTTACTGTACTTCATAACATTAATTATTATGCACATGCAATTATTATACACACTAAGTAACAGGGAAACCAAAGAACAAAATGGGATCCCTAACCTTATTAGGGCCTTTTAGTGTTACATTATCACTGTTACAACAGATGGAAAAAGGAATTGGGAAGCCGAGAGTACTGCACTGAGTACAAAAGCTAGGACAGATCAAACCAAATACAATCAGGACAAAGAGAAAGAGTTGTGGCAGACGATTATAGAGCAACCTGTACTTAAGACATGTTTCTTTCTAATGCCTTAAGATGCGTAGTAATTTAGACTGAGCAAGACCTAAAAGTATGATTCAAGTTATTCTTCCATTGTGTATTGGGAAGAATTTCATTTGCCATCATGCTGTGCGCTCACCTTTGCTAGATCCCTCTGAAGTCCTTCAGACTTAGTCATAAGTGACTTGCATAATATTTGTTATTTGCAAATGCTGAAATTTGTCTGTTCACTGATACTTGCATAATGGATTCCAAAATAGCCTTTTTTTCTAAACAATCATCTCTGCTGTTTATCTAAGGTTGTGCATACTTGTTTAATCCCTGATGTAATGCTTTATTTAACATTGGAGGAAGAACTGAAGAATGTATCTATCTGTCTTACAAATTGTACAGGCAGGGCATTTAGAATTTTCTAAATAAATGTAACATAGACAAAACATATACCCCTAAACAGGATAGGACAATGTTGTACTTCCACATGTACAAACAGGGCATGTCTAGACGAGCACGGATGTGCGGGATGTGGCGTCGCAGATCCATCTGTGGTGCCACACACTGCACATGCAGGCATCTCCTGCACTGGTACTTTGCAGCGTGGGGATTCTTTTCACCCTGGAAGATCCCGGGATCAAAAAATCCACAGCAAAAAAAAAGGTGGGGTAGTGCATGTGGCAGTAGTGCATGCCACCCAAAACCGGAGCCTGGTTGGCTGGGGCCACACTCCGGCTGCTGGTCATGTTTCCTGCTGTGGCTGCAGCCCCAGGCTGGCCCCCAGGACCCCAGGTAAGGATGCTGGGGCCAGCCTCCCCTACCGCACCCAGGGTAACCTGAGCACCACAGCATGTGTGGCACGGGTGTTCCCTGGGGACAAGTAACAGTGGGACAAGACATGCCACTGCTACTTGCCTCCGGGGAAACAAACATCCGTGCGCATCTGAATGTGCCCACAGGTTACATTTTGCTGCTGTAAACAATGTGTGTGATAGTAAACTGCTGTGCCTAAAATGCGTTTTAAAATTTAATGCTATGTCCTTTTTAAAATTCATTTCTGTTCAGTTAAATACTTAAGTTAAATATTTAAAGTGCTCACAGAATCAAAGCCTGTACCTTTGTCAAAAATATTGAATTGCAGCCAAATCTGATTGATGAGATTCAATCAAGTATCTTTAATATGAGTAAGGTAAAAGCGGTCACTAGTTTCTCTTGGCTTCATCAAAACTGTTGAGACCTGTTGTCGCCAGTATTTTTATCTACTTAATTTGAGTTATAGTTAATCCATACATAAATACTGTTTCTTTTTAAAGATTCCCTTTACAACAATTGATGGTGGTCATTGTGAGTAATGAGTAAGACTCATTCCTTGTGATTATCTCCCTTTGCTAGTCTTAATACTTCACACTTTCCAAAATAAATAATGCTTTAATTTAGCCTCTCTTTTTTTAATTCTCCAAGATAAGCAGCTTATGATATCACTCAACTAGACCATTTCACACATTCAGGTTAACTTTTTAAATTTTATTCTGAACTCTTACTTAAAATAAGTATAGCTAGTCAAAAGGTATTTGAGTCTCATCACTGAACGTTAAACTTGAGTAAGACAAAATAAAATAAGGGTAAGTACATTACCTATCCCACCACCTGCATGGGGAGGAGCACCAAAACGAAAGGAATCGATGTAAGCTTTTATTTTTTCCAAGTCTAGAGAAGAAAATCACATTTATTTTCATGCAGATCAAATGTCTCAACTTAATTTTTCTCAAAGTGGCCCCAAAAATAAATGCACAGATGTATCCACAACATCTCAGCAATGAACCTGTCAAACCAGGCATGGGTAAACGACCACACATTTTCTAAAAGTCATAACTATGCATGAATTAATCACATTTCTTTATAATTCTGTGAAGCCCTTCATGGGGAAGACATTTGATAGCTGAATGGGGGCTAAGCCACTCTTCTGCATTATAGTGGTATTAATTCTGAGAACTGAGGAATATGGTGGGACATGCATCCCAATGTATTTTCTCAGAATCCTGCACTGAGAGACTGAAGTTCTCTTATGTCCTACCTCACTCCCCCTGCCCTCTTCCCATTTACTATTCCTTCCTTCAAGAGAGAAAGTATACCACTCACTGTTTGCTACCTTTCACACACAGCACCTTAACACAAAGCCTGTTTAAATTTATACCCACTCTCCATCTCTCATCTCCTATTATCCAGTATGTTTCCATGATGATTTCCTCCCTAATTCCACCAATGGATCTCTTTCCTGTCTTGCTAATTCACAGTTCAGGAGTCAAGTTAGGAACCAGTGGTGGTGGGGGGCTGCACTGGGGGTACTAACCAGCAGTCAGCAAGAGTCTGCAGTAGCAAGGATGCACAGGAAGACAGGACTCTCAAACTCCCTGCTCCATGTTTCATGTCCCCAACTCCATACTGCACCGAACCTTCACATTTCCTATACTAGCAATCTTGCTAAGGCCCTTAGAAAACAGTTTCCAGATGCTGCTAAACTAGCCAGTTTCTTTTAAATTAATGTGTAGTGGATTAAAAATGGTTGAAACAAAATGAGACTGTTACTGCTATAGTGCATATTCCTGTTGTGTATCCCCAAGTGATGGTGTCAAACTGTGTCCCAAAAGTATATTTTTAATAACAGATAAAAACCCCTGATCCAACTGATTTTATTACCAATGCCATGATGCTGGGCTCTTTCCGTCAGCAGCTGAGGATCGTGAATTCTTTGAGCACCAGATAAAATCTCTTCTCCTCTCATGAACATATCGTAAGAGTTTGAAATTTTCTAGAAAGGTAAAAGTTTGCATCTGATTAGTGGCTGGGATCTGGAGGAATTGATGCATTTCCTCAGCCAGCAGATATCTACTTTTTGAGATCGCTGGCTAAGATAACACATGAAACTAGGTGACAGCAGGCATGTCTACACAAAACCTTTACCACGCAGCTGACCATTTAGCTGTGCACTAAAAGTCTTGGCACCTGCAAGAGTTAGTTGTGCAGTAAACATCTCGGTGTTGAAACGGTGCACCCAGGGACAATAAATGCGGGACTGTTTATTCAGGCACATTAACTGCATGTGTAGATGTGCCCAGCATGAAATATTTTGGGGCTATGGCAGCACCAGTATAATCAGATGTCTCTTTTCATCAGATTCAGACTTGACTTAATTTATGAACCTGAATTTAGCCAACTCCCTCTCCAGAATGACTACTTTTGTAAGCTAAGGAATAATGCACGGATTTTGTAAAAACCTAAGGGAAGTGCACTTCTGCTAAAGCAAAACTGTGAGAATAATTTTGCTCACTATGCAATGCTTATGACCGAAGCAGAAGCAATCTGACAAGACAAGACTTGACTCCCATTGTTTTTTTTAACATGTAACTTGCAGTAGTGTAATCAAGGTGGGGTGACTAGGGCAACAGACTTTTGCACCCACCTCGGGGCAGGGTATATGGTCAGGAGTACAGAATAATAACAGCTGCAATTGTAGTCACTCAACCACACCAGAAGCACCAGCAGTTGAAAACTGCCCCTGCTGTGGGCACCCAGCTGCCCCATAATGCCTCTATTATCTTTCAAAAGTATACGCAACTTTTAACCAAATGCAGCGCGAACTGGTGTTGGTTTACCCTTGATATCACCGTGCCCAACTCAAGTCTCATTAGCACTGTAAATCAAAGAAGAAAATAGTCACCTGCCAAATTGGCTTTACATAGTAAAATTAAACCTTTTACTTTTACATTGACTACACCACAGCTCTTTACTTACAGGATTTACTGGGTCTGGCATTGTATAAAAAGGCCTCACAGCCAGAGGATATTTGTCAAGTATGTAGAAGTCTGTATCATACTGCAAGAAGACCAGATAGTTTAATAAATTAATACGAGATACGATAAGGTCAGGGGAGGGTTATATAAAGAAAGCCACCACAATTTAATCATTGAAAACTAATATTTAAAAAAGCCCTTCTAAACAAATTAAGCAAAGGAAACATACAGGGTGTTTCATAGTTGCATAGTAGTTTGGGGTCAGAAGGGACCTAAATAGATCATCTAGTCTAACCCCCCACCACTGGCCAGAGCATACGGTGGGATCACACGACTCCAGATAGGTGATCATCCAACCTCTTTCTGAATTTACCCAAGGTAGGAGTGAGGACCACTTCCCTAGGAAGTTGGTTCCAGATCCTAGCCACCCTAACAGTGAAATAGTGCCTCCTAATCTCTAACCTGAACCTATTCTCCAGCAGCTTCTGGCTATTGTTCCTCATCACCCCAGGTGGTGCTGGAGGGAATAGGACCCTTCCTATTTGCTGCTGATCTCCCCTAACGAGTTTGTAGGCAGCCACCAAATCCCCCCATAACCTCCGTTTGCTGAGGCTGAACAGGTTCAGGTCCCTCAGCCTCTCCTCATAGGGCCTGCCCTGTTGCCCTCCAACCAAGTGGGTGGCCCTCCTCTGGACCCTCTCAAGGCAGGCCACATCCTTCTTAAAGTGCGGTGCCCAGAACTGGATGCAGTACTCCAATTGAGGCCGGACCAATGTCGCGTAGAGTGGGAGTATCACTTCTCTGGACCGGCCTGAGATGCATCTTTGGATGCATGACAAGATTCTGTTGGCTTTGCTGGCTGCGGTCTGGCATTGGCGGCTCATGTTCATCTTGGAGTCAATAATGACTCCCCAGCTTGTGTGTATGCTGTGGATTCCTTCTCCCCGGGTGCAGCACCCTGCATTTATCTACATTGAAGCCTATCCTATTACCATCCGCCCACTTCTGTAGTCTGTCTAAATCTAATTGCAGCCTCTCTCTCCCTTCTAGCGTGCCTACCTCTCCCCACATCTTGGTGTCATCGGCAAACTTGGACAATGTGTTTTCCACCCCCTCGTCCAAGTCGCTGATGAAGATGTTGAACAGTGCAGGCCCCAGGACCAAGCCCTGGGGACCCCACTATTCACATCCCGCCAGGTCGAGTATGACTCATCCACCACCACTCTCTGGGTGTGCCCCATCAGCCAATTTTTGACCCATCCAACTGTGTAGGCATCAATGCCACAGTTGCTCAATTTATTAATGAGAATGGGGTGAGAGACACTGTCAAAGGCCTTCTTAAAGTCTAGAAAGACTACGTCCATGGCGACACCATCATCCAGAGATTTAGTTACCTGGTCAAAGAAGGCCATCAGGTTGGTCAGGCAGGACCTGCCTTTGATGAACTCATGTTGATTTCCCCTGGGCATGATCTCCCCTGCTGGCCCCTCACAGATGTGATCCTTGATAATTTTTTCAAGGATTTTCCCCAAGATCGATGTGAGGCTTATAGGCTTATAGTTTCCTGAGTCCTCCTTTCTCCCTTTCTTATAAATGGGGACCACATTAGCTAGTTTCCAAATATCCAGGCACCCGGCCCATGGACCACGATCGCTCATACAGCCGGACCAAGGGCACAGCAATGACCCCCGCTAGCTCTCAACACCCGTGGGTGGAGGGCATCAGGGCCCACAGATTTAAAAACATCCAGCCCTTTCAGAAGATCCCTAACTATTTCTGCGCAGACCCGAGGCCTGGCAGTGCTATCCCCAAGATTGCCCCTACCTGTTGATAAAGTCCTTGTGCAACTTTAAACTTTAATAACTCTAGATGTACATATCATAGAAGCAAACTGTACATGGTGATTGAAAGCATAATTCATTAGGTTTTAACACAAGACAGCTCACATTTCTAGACTTCAGTATAACCACTCTTTTGTGATAAATAACTCAACCTGATTTTCCAACTCATAGAAAACATTTTCCAGTTGCCGCTAAGTAATTTCATGAATTGCATTTGTGATTCTTACTCTATGCATAGCTTACACTATGTTAAAAAACTTAATGAATTATGGTTTCAATCGCTGTTTACACTTTGCTTCTATCACGTGTATATACAAAGTTATTAAAGTTTAAAGTTGCACAAGGACTTTATAAACACCCTGCAGTTGCCCTATTTATTTCAACACTACTTACTTTGAAAAACAATCCTGTATTTTATTTATTACACTTTTTGTTTTTGGACACTTCATTTTTTGTGACTTCCAGGATGCACGAAAAGTAACATTTCTTGCTCTCATAAATGCATTGTTTTTTATTTTCTAAACAGAGATCTTGCCTTCCTCAGCTGCTGCTAATGAAAACAAAGCTAAATACTTCCATCTATTTACGATCTTAGTGTTTCAAGGTTTGTGTATCAGAATATTTGCCAATGAATTGCTTGTTAACTCAATCTGCAGGACAAGCTTATATTGAGTTTTGGTTAATATTTAAAAAACCCCACCAAACCCAAACACCTCTCTGGTGTTTGGGTTTACAGCTTTTGTAAAGTATCATTTCCTTAGAATACATTATGTACTGCATTGTAAATAAAAGCTAATAAAAAGATTCAAAGGTTTTTTTTCAGGATTTTCTTTCTTAAAATATTTTTTCAAATGGTGTTATTTATAATAAGAGTGGAGGGAAGGAACTGTCAAAAGACTAGCGAATGATAGCAAAAAAGATTACCCAGGTGAACAATCAAGAAATTCTTATGTCAATCTCAAAAAAAATTTCCAAATGACTTCTGCCTCTTCTGAAGACTACCTATTTTGAAACATAACATCCCCTTGTTTGTACAAAAACAGACATTTCTCTCTACTGTTTCTACATTGTAGAGACTTCAGTTTTAACAGAAAGAATAATGTATTCTAAAGCAATAGTTACCTTCTCCTTTACCAGACGCCCCAGAAGCTTTTCATTAGGTGTGCTGAAAAAGATTGTGACTGTCAGAATAAAGCAAACCAGGCCTCCATTAAGCACACAAAAAACCTCAAAGATTTCTGCAGATTTATTTTTGAAGGGCCCTACCTCACAACTTTCAGAAAGCATCCCAGGTGTTCCTGCATATTTTGAGAAGTTTAAATTCCTAACTAAATTGTGGTTATATCATAAACAACTCCTAACTAAGAATGTTCTTGCTCCTGTCACATTATTTTGATTACTGAAACATTCTGGACCCGATTCCCCACTGCCCTGCAGTCTAAAGTGCTCTCATCCAGATAGCACTCTGCGGTGCTGGATGGACCCTTACGCTGAAACCTTTTATTTATTTTAACTGAGAAGTTGCATACATGTCCCTAAACAAACTGAACACATGAGAAAGAACGTATGTTTTAATCTGGCAAATGTACATGGACGCTGCTACAAACTTATTGAGCCTGATCTGTCTGCCAGTAAATGTTAGTTGAGAATTAAACTGGGATCACTGTTTTAAAGGTGGGGGGAAAGGTTTCCATGGCAGGGGCATCAAGTTCTCTGAAGAATCTTAGACTTAAAAATCACATTCACAGACATTTAGCAGGTCAGCCCTGCAACCTGTTATGTAGAAGAAGTGTTTTATTCTTGAAGAACTTCTCTTACTTTGTGCTGTTATATTTGTTGTTTTGGATACCCAAGGCTCACTTAGGTATAAAAAATTTACAGTGAACTAGGGGATTTAGAGTCTCATCCCATTACTTATGTTTCAAGAGAAGGTAGCTAGATATTTGACTGGGATAATTAGGGATGATCCTGCCTCGAGCAAAGACTATTTGACCTCTTGAGGTTCCCTCCAGTCCTACTTTCCAGTTCTCTTGAGATCCCTTCCAGTCCCACTTTCCAATAAGCTTATGAACACATATAGTCTAGTGAATTCATTTCAGAACATGGCTGTACAGTACCAAATCAATACTTCAACAAGAACTGGTGTGTATGTGTGTGTGTTTTTACTCTTACAAGGTTTGGCTGCTTTCCAACACATCTATTATACCTTAAATCTTCTTCATCCCCCATCTCCACACCAGCTTCCTTGAGCATAGCCACAGCTTCACGGTACTCCAGTCTCAAAGTTGGTTCCAAAAACTTGAATGGCTCACATGGAAACTGTTTATTCACTGTCTGAATTTCAGTCTGAAATCTATACATGAAGAAACAGAAAAGCATTTCTTGTATGGTTCACTAATGCAAGCTTACAATTGCAGTACACTTTTTGCCACAAGGGGTCACTTTTGTAACATATAAGACCAACTACTTCAAGACTATTCCCGAAGCAGTTGTGTATAATGTAAGAACTGAATATTATCCAAGTTGATGAAACTCATTTCAATACTACAAATACAACTCTGCTAAATATTACAAATATTTTAACATTATTCCTGATGCTTCATTCTTCTCTCAAGGAGTAACCAGCTAAGATGACTATTCTTTGAAATCATTGCCTTAAAAATTAGAAACTAGCTTTATTATAGTTACTGGCTTTATACCAAAATTAAATATTACAGAAACCATATACAAATTTGCTTGTAGTTAAGTAAATATATTGTGCATTACTGGCTAGATACCTCATAATTTGTAAGCAAATGTGAGACTTTCCTCCAGAACCTGCTGAATTGGCTTTGTAACAAAAAGTGGAAAACACTGCTCTCTACTTTCATGGTTGATATACTCACTAATAAGATAAGGAAGACACGAGAAAGCTTTTTAAAAAAGAAGATATGAAGATCAATTTTCAAACACGGACAAAGAGTTGTTGTAAACGCACAACTTTCCCCAACAGAAATAGTTTTGCTTGATGCCAACTGACTTGCTCCATAAATCACACTTCAGGGTGACAATGGACTCACGCCTCAGGCTTCCACGAACTTTGAAACTTAGACAGATAGGGAGAGGTAAGAGCCTTAATTCTGGAGCCTGCTTGGTGTAAATTGGATTTCTGGTGGTTACCGAAGGGAATGCCCACTCTTGTCCTATTAAAACCCCTACATATGTTAAGCAAGGTGCATTTACCTTTCTTGAAGTCCCTTGAATATCTGCACCAAAGTGTCTGCAATCTCATCTACCACTTCATGATAGTGGTAGTTAAAAGACATTTCTATATCCAGACCAACAAACTCAGTCAGGTGTCTGTGTGTATTGGAATCTTCGGCTCTGAATACTGTAAAAGAGTGCAAATACTAAATTGCATTTTTATCTTTAATGAAATGAGTAAGACTATTTTATCTGCTGCTTGTAAAATAACTCATACAATCAATCACATCGGTCTTGCATCATTTTGCCACAGAACAAGACCTACAACACTTGGTACTTTTGAAATCTTTAGTTCTCTTTTCATGTTGTTCTGCCAACGACTAATTACCAGCTTTAAATATCTTTATACCGCCTTTTGAAGTATACTTGAAATGCGATACTGCAGATTACTGTTCAGCAGTAGTGAGACCTATTTTTCCTAAGTTTTTGAAGAGATCGAGATGGAGATTAGAAATTATTAAAATCTGGGCTTATTTTACCATCTGCCCAATTTCTAGCATGTGTGTTTTAAATGGAGTTTTATATACACACACACACACACAAAATATAGGATGGGCTTATATTAGAATGTAATTTATGCAAAAAACACTTTCATATTTTTAACTGCTTCAAGTGAAGCACATGCATGAAAACCTTCAGCTTCTGGCATTACAGAATTAGAGGATACTTTACAAGCTTGTTTTAGCTCATCACTGTTCTACTATCTCCTACTGCAGTGCTCCTTTTTTGTCTTCTGAGGTAATATCCACTAGAGAATACCAGTGCTCTGCCAAAATTTCTGACTTCCGCGCCATACTTCTGTTCCTTCAGCTTATCTGTCAAACCTGTCAGTCCGATTGGTAGCCCTTCCTTGATACTTTTGTTTGGTATGCAGATCACAGATGAAATGATTCAAGCTTTCAGCATGTGTAAAATTACCTTATTTGTCACGCTCCCACTGTAACCTATTGCTGGTTTATCCAAGTTATTCATACAGCAAAGTTATTCTTACCCGGTCCAATGCAGAAAACCTTTTCAAAGTCAGCACATATACACATCTGCTTGTACAACTGTGGGGACTGAGCCAGGTAGGCACTACTTTTGAAGTAAGATACAGTGAATACATTGGCTCCTCCTTCGCTGGCAGCTGAAAAATGTGGATGATTTACATTGTAATAATTACCAAAAATATTAAAATATAATGACAACAAAAATTAACCAAAGCTGTGCAAGTCAAGCATGTTTGCGTTTATATTTAAAGACGAAGGTGAGATGTTTCAAAGCCACGAAACAGAGAGACACATAGCACCTAATAATTTTAACAGACATTGTTTGTTCAGTCACCTTTGAGGTGTTAAACACAGAGAGTTAATTTGAAAATCTAATGCAGTACTGGAAAGAAAGAGCTCCTGCAATCTAATCCCAAATTTGAAACCGACTCCCATCTGTGCTCTCAGGTGAGTACATTTACGATTTTCCTACTGTAATATGAGAACGATACGTGTCTTCCTAGCTACCTAACATAGACAAAGGTATGGTGAAGAATGATCAGTCAGTATTCTTAAGAAATACCCTAAAGTTGAGAGATAACGGCTACATAGTAAATATTATTATCCGCTTTTCCACTAAGAAGAACTTATGTGTTATGTGGTTCGAGTTCCGAACCTCTGGGCCCCACGCATAATTCCTAAATTTCGGCAGCTATTTTTTCTGTATTTTTAGCTAAAAGTATAATTTAAATGAATATTCTGGAATATTCAACAGCTTTTAAAACCAAAGATTAAAACAGCTGGGATATTTATATATGAAAATAGTACAGACTGTACCTACTGTACCTGGGTTGCTAAATATAATCTAATTGAAACAATAGGAGGCTTGCACTACTGATTTCAACGGTACACTGAACAGTAAGAATGATGCACTTCCTGAAAGGCTTTATGTAAATAGAGACCTTGTGAACCATCTGTGCTTTAGGTGAAGTGGGAGAGTGAGTTAGAGTTCAGCGACATTTGCGTGGTAAGTCTGTTGCTTGCATCTACTGAATTAGAAAAGCTTGGGGCTCAACCAAGACTGGCTTAGTAAAAGGGAAATTATAATATCCACCGCTAAGATGCCTGGGTAAGGCAAACCCATAGCAAACAATATAAATACCATGCCTTGGTATAGCACCCCATTAGAGAAGTCTCATGCATTTTGGCAACATCAGTGGAGCCTCACAATCTGTGAGGTGGTAGATACAATATTCAAATGACAATGGGACCAGAGATTTGGCTCACTCATTCAAAGTTGCACAGCAAGTCAGCAGGGGAGCCAGGAATAGAAACTAAGGCATAACTGTATCAGATGATACTGATATAAGATGTTACAACATAAATGTAACCTCTGCATGTTCCTGCAGTGCTGCAGATACAGCAAAGATGCTGCAACTTTAATCCAGCTTCACTGGGGTAAAAGTTACTGAGTTGTTGCAAATGCACAGATGTAACAGTTATATCACGCAGGGGTTTGGGTTATATCATAGCAGCTGATGCCTGCTCCTGAGCAGCAGCTTTTCCTCCCCTTTTAAAATGGTTAAAAGTTAACATTTCACCATAACCTATATTTGCCAACTCCTAGTCCTAGGTTTTAGCATAGCTGTATATTAGCACCTTCTATTCATCTTTTGTTCACTATACAATTTCGTATTATTTTCTAATCATGGAATGATCTTTGGTAAAGCATCATGTATACCGATACCTTCACTAGGAAATCTGTACTTAATTTAACTTGGAAAACTCTTGTTTCTTTAATTGCAAACATCTGATTTCTGAACTGGTCAAGTGTTCAGATCTAAGAGCAATCGTGATCACACATCTTTGCTTAACTTAATGAAATCTTTATATGCACTGGAGAGTGCGGCAGTCAGGTATGAATAATCCTTAGCTGTCAGCTGGTCAATTGTATATGAGACCCAGACAAGTCACCCTTGTAGCTTTTAAAAGTTACAGTGCTTTTGCTATCTTAAACCTAAAACCTAAAAGATAGGAACATTATCTATTGCTCATTAAAAAGATGAAAAAACACATTTTCAACCCCCACAAACTTCTCTACACAAATTAGATTTCTCATCATTGTAACTGTTGAAACAACCAGGCAGTACCTGAGATGATTTTGGGAGTCTGAATTTCCACAAATCCCTTGTGAATGAGAGTTTCTCGAAAGAGCTGACAGATACCAGACTGAAGGCGGAAGACAGCCTGACTAGTGGAAGTCTACAAGGAAGGAAATAAAATCATGAATCCTAAAACAGTCTTACTTTCTGGACTTTATTACTTTTGTCAAGGCAGTTACAGATTGTTAAACCTCTTGTCTCAGGAATGCTTATTATCCTACTCAAAAGTACCTGAAAAGTGATGTCAAAGTCGAGATTTATTTATTATAAACAGAAATAGCAAAAGGTAACAGATGAAAGTCTTTTATTTCAATTTACGGTTCATTCAATTACAAAGAGGACACTAGTGCACTCTGCACTCAAAGAACTACTGATTTGTAAGACAAATACTACTGAAAGATGAGATTTACAGTATGACAAAACCATGAACATTAAACCTATTAGAAAGCTTTCACTGCACTGAACCAAAACAGATGTGGAAATATATAGTACATTATAAATGCAATGTGCTTGGTAAAATACATTATGGAGAAAGGTTTTAGTCCACTTAAAAAGATAAGGGCCACGTCCAGACGAGTACGGAAGTGTGGTATGTGGTGCTGAAGATCCATCTGTGGCGCCACACTGCACACCTAGGCGTTCCCCACGCTGCTACTTTGCAGCACAGGATTTTTTTTTTTTGATACCAGGAGCCAGGGTCAAAGAAACAAAAACAAAACAAAAAAACAAAAACAACAACAACAAAAAGGCAGGGTGACATGTGGCAGCGTGTACTGCCCAAAATCGGAGCCTGGCCAGCTGGAGCCATGCCCACCAGGCTCCCTGCTGCGGCAGGAGCACTGTGGCTGCAGCTCCCAGAGGACCTGCTGCTGGGGCCAGAGTTAAGCTGCTGGGGCCAGCACAGTTGCTAGCCTTAGCCTCCCCTACCTTACCCGGGGTAACCTGCCGTACGCCAGAACGTGAGAGGCACAGGTGATCCCCAGGGACAAGTAGCAGCAGCACAAAGGGTGCCACTGCTACTTGTCCCCAGGGAAACACATGATCCCACTTGTGTGGACACGGCCAAAGAGTACCATACTCGATAGGACCAATGGTCCTTTAAGTTCAGTCTCCTGTCTCCGACAGTGGCAGGGTTGGATGCTTTAGAGGGAGAGCACTGAATCAGATATATCTAGAGTAATCTACCCCTGGCATCTACCATCATTTGGTTAGAAAGATGCTAGATGAAACATCTTCCAACTGTTCTGTTTAACAGCTATTGAGAGATCTATTGTACAGGGTTGCTAATTGGCTGGAGGGCCGCACCCAGAGAGTGGTGGTGGACGGGTCATTTTCGACCTGGAGGGATGTGGGCAGTGGGGTTCCTCAGGGCTTGGTCCTCGGGCCCGCACTGTTCAACATCTTCATCGGCGACTTGGACGAGGGGGTGAAAAGCACCTTGTTCAAATTCGCGGATGACACTAAGATGTGGGGAGAAGTGGGCACGCTAGAGAGGGACAGGCTGTAATTAGATCTGGACAGGTTACAGGGGTGGAGGGATGAGAACAGGATGGGTTTCAATACTGACAAGTGCAAGGTACTGCACCTGGGGAGGAAGAAGCAGCAGCATACCTGCAGGCTGGGGAACTCCCTTCTTGTCAGCACAGAGGCAGAAAAGGATCTTGGAGTCATTATTGATTCCAAGATGAACATGGGCTGACAATGTGAGGATGCGGTCAGGAAGGCTAACTGCACCTTGTCATGCATCCACAGGTGTATCACAAGCAGGTCCAAGGAGGTGATCCTCCCCCTCTATGCGGCACTGGTCAGGCCACAGCTGGAGTACTGTGTCCAGTTCTGGGCGCCGCACTTCAAGAGGGATGTGGACAGCATTGAGAGGGTCCAGGGAAGGCCACTTGCATGATCAGGGTGCAGCAGGGCAGGCCCTACGAGGAGAGGCTATGGGACCTGAACCTGTTCAGCCTCTACAAGAGAAGGCTGAGAGGGGATCTGGTGGCCATCTATAAATTGGCCAAGGGAGACGAGCAGGCAATGGGAGAGTCCCTGTTCCCTCGAGCACTACCGGGAGTAACAAGGAATAACGGCCGTAAGTTGACGGAAAGCAGACTCAGGCTAGATATCAGGAAGCGCTACTTCACAGTCAGGGCGTCTGGGATCTGGAACCAACTTCCAAGGGAAGTGGTGCTCGCTCCAACCCTGGGGGTCTTTAAAAGGAGGCTAGAGAGACACCTAGCCGGGGTCATTTGACCCCACTATTCATTCCTGCCCATGGCAGGGGGTCGGACTTGATGATCTGCTCAGGTGCCTTCCGACCCTACTAACTATGAAACATTAAATTTGTCGAACCCCGTTTTGAATCTGGCTATATTATCTGTCTCTATAGCCTCCTGTGGCAATGAGTGCCACAAGTTAACTATATACTGCATTAAAAGTATTTTCTTGTTAGGTTTAAACCTGACTCCTACTAATTTCAGTGGGTGCACCTAGTTCTAGTATTCTGGGACTTGGTGATTAACAGTTCCCTATTCCCAGGTGACTTTGCACCGTTTGTGATATTACAGACGTCTAGCATATTCTCCCTTAGCCTTCCCATCAGGTTGGAAGGGAGCCTAGCATTTTAGTCTCTCTTGGCATGGTGGCTACTCCATACCCCTGAACATTTTGATTGTCCTTCCCTGTTCCTTTTCCAATTCTACCACATCCTTTAAGATGTGGAGACCAGAATGACACAGTATTCAAGATGTTGGTGCACCGTGGATTTACATGGTGGCATTATGATAGTCTTCCTTTTGTTTTCAATTCCCTTAATGATGCCCAATATTTTACTGGCCTTTTTGGTTGCTGCTGCACACTAAGCTGGCATTTTTAAAGCTATCTACAATGACTCCAAGGTCAATTAAAAACCCAACACTCTTTAAGTATCGAGGTTATATTTCTCCCAAGTGCATTACCTTGCACTTGTCAACATTAAAGTTCATCTGCCATTTTTTTGTCTTTTTGCTTAGCTTTGTAAGAAATTTCTGCAGCCTGTCTTCATCTTGGTATTTGACTAATTTGGTATCATTTGCAAACTTAGAGATTTCACCATGTACCCCCATTTGAAGGTCCCTGATGAAAACGTTGAACAAAACTGGGCCCATCACAGATCCCTGTGGGACCCCAACTTCTGATCTCCTTCCTTTTTGGACCATTTCACCTTACCTTTTGCTTCCTATCTTTTAACCAACTTTCAATCCACAATGAACCTTTCCTACAAACCTGCAGCAACACAGTTTTTCAAAAGCCTTTGGTGAGGGACTTTGCCAAAAGCTTTCAGAAAGTCTAAATATATCATGTCAACTGGATTCCCTTTGTCCACGTGCTTGTTAACACTTTCAAAGAACTCCAGCAGATTAGTAATGCAGGATTTCCCTTAACAAAACCATGCTGACTTCTCTAGCAGATCAGATTTGTTCATGTGACTGCCGATTTTATTTTTTAATATAGATTTTACCAATTTGCCGGGGATGGAAGTGAGACTCACTGGTCTGTAGTTCCCAAGATCACCTCTGGAGCCCTTTTTAAGATAAATGTTATGTTGGTAATCTATACGTCCTTTGGCATGGAGACTATTTGTAATGATAGGTTACACAGTATTGCCAGCAGCAAAACAATTTAACCTATGAGTTCCTTCAGAACTCTTGGGTGAATGCCATCCAATCCTGGTGATTTTGTATTTATCAATTTGTCCTAAAACTTCTTCTATTGTCGCTTCAACTTGATCGAATCTTCAGACCTATTTAACTGGAAGGATGGATCGGGCATGGGAATTCCTCCAGTATCTTCTGTAGTGTAAAAAAAGAATCAATGCAATGGATTTATTTAACTTCTCTGCTATGAACCTATCTATCCATGAGTGCACCTTTTATACCTCAGTCATCTAATGGTTCCACTAATTTTCTCGCTGGCTTCCTGCTTCTGATAGATTTACAGACTTCAGCATCTTTTGCTAGACATTCCTCAAATCGATTTTTGGTCTGCTTTATTTTACACTAGATTTACCAGAGTTTGTGATCTTTCCTGTTTTCTTCATTTGGGTACAACTTCCATTTTCTGAAGGACACCTTTTTGCCTTGAATGACATCCTTAACTGCTACTAAACTAAGGTTGGTACCCATTTTCATTTGTGGTATACGCTC